GAAGGAGATACAGTAAAATTTGTTAACACACAGAAAAAGCGCAGGCTCAGAATGATGTAATAAGTTTGCATAAATCACAAAGTTGGTAGGAAGCTGTGGGGGACCCTATTCAGAGTACACCGGATGCTCAAGGCCACTCTGAGCATGGGAATCCTGATCAAAATGTTCAAGGTTGAGTTGCTATCATCACAGGTGCACAGCAAGGCCGCAACTATTGCACTGTACACAGCACAAGCGTGTCCTTCTATAACCCAAAATAGTGAGTTCACATTTCGGAAAGAAGTCTCTTTTGTCTAAGTAGTACAAAGCTGTCACTGACCAGCCAGAGGCAGCTGCTCTTATGTGAGGCTGTATTATGGGGAAGAGGTATTACTGACCAGCAGGCTGCTGCTGTGGGTACAGATGTAGGAAAGATGTATTGTTACCTCGCTGGTGTATAGAGACTTTACTTTAGAGAACTGTTTTGTCTAGTGGCTCCTTGTTAGCAATGACTGCATGGCCACTGGCTTCTACAATAAAGACTCTCCTATATACCTACAACTTCTCATGACTTCTCCATCAAATGCCCGGTGTCCATGAAGGTCCCGTCTCTGGCAGAGGAGCTGAGTTCCAACGGAAGCAGAGCCAGGCTCTGACTCCATGGCCTTGCATTGCCTTTTCAGCTTCCCTCCGGTGGTGGGGAACCCAACCAGTCTCATCCATTGTCTCAGAGGTGGTGCAGTAGCCAACTGGCTGACGTGTGACAATTGGAGAAATGTTGTATTAGCTGTGCTCTACTTCCAAGAATGAGGTTGGATAGGAATCAGCTGTGCAAAGGAATGTCTGTGTCACAGCTACCCAGTCTTTCATATTTGTAAGACATTTGTGCCTTTTCTTTCTGGGCTGCTAACCCAATCTTGCCTCCAGGTCACTGTTCTCTGGAACATAGCCATTCCAGTAACTAGTTGGGCAACGATTTCCACTTCCCTTTTAATTTCTGTAATGAGCCTATATATTTAATTTTCCTTTCCAAGTCACCTGCAGTTTCTTTTTTCTTTAAGATTCTGATGCTGATCTTTGATGCTTGCAACACTGTTCTCCTTCGGCAGGTCCTAAATGATATATACTTATTACAAAGAGATCTAAAAAAAAAAAAAAAAAATCAGCATTTTTGAAGAACTTTATAATTCCTCAGATTCACTAGAAGATATGCTGGAATCTTACAAGTTAACTTAAACATAAATTATACGTTAGCTTAAAGTTGCTGATGGCCAGCCCTGGCCAGGTGGCTCAGTTGGTTGGAGTGTCGTCCCTCGCGCTAAAGGGTTTTGGGTTTGAGACCAGTCAGGCCACATACAGGGAGCAACCCATCTACCTAACTGTTCCATTGGCTTTGCATGGAGCAGTTCTGAAATGCATGTTATCTTACCTTCCCTAAGTGTTCTGCCCATGCTCTCTGTTTCTTGTACTCCAGGTGAAAATCCTGGGCATCTGTGAATCTTTTCTCTGTGTCCCTCTACCCCAACTACCTGCCTCACAGCCCCTCCTCTCTGTGAGCAGTTGCCAAGGCCCATCAACTCTGACTCAGTGATCCTTCTGATGTTCCCACCCCGTGTTCTCCAGGGGCAGACCCTCATTTTCTCTCCTGCAAAAGCCACCTGGCTCTTACAGCAGTTGCCTTTGCCTCCAGTCTCTTCCCTTAAGCCACCCTGTTGTGAATACACTTCAGCTGCATAGTTCTTCCTGAAGGATAATCTCATAACAACAGTAAAACAGAGTCCCACAATCTTTGTTGTTTTACCGTTGAACACTAACTAAGGTCTACACTTGAGAGCATTTACTCTGCCAGCAGCTTTCCTGCTGCACTTCCAGTCAGACCGGATCGGATCATCCTCTCTGCCAGAAGTTGCTGCTGGTGGCCCTTAGTCCAGATTTGGCCTGCAGGCATGTTTTGTTTGGTTCCCAACTTAAAAAATTAACCTGAATCGATGCTTTAAAATCAAAGGAATTTTCTTCAGAGTTGAAGTCTCAAAGAAAGTACAGGAGACTGTGAAAGCTTCAGAAAAGATGGGAATTTTGGGAAAGGGAGGGAATCAGACAAGACTTAAGTTCTTACCTATTTAAGTTCTTAGTACGTCTTTTACCCACCTTTTTAATATATATGATATATATATTAAATTTAATATATATTAAATATATATAATATATATGATATATATTAAAAGGTGGATATATATATACAGTATATATACAAACATAGATATATGTTAGTATATATACAGTATATATACACATATATGTATACATACTGTATTTCATATAGGAAGGGACAGGGAGAGAGAGATAGAAACATTAATGATGAGAATCATTAATCAGCTGCTTCCTGCATGTCCCACACTGGGGATCGAGCCTCAACCGGGCATGTACCCTGATCTGGAATAGAACCGTGACTTCCTGGTTCATAGGTTAACACTTAACCACTGAGCCATGCAGGCTGGCTACTCCCCTTTCAGAGGTTAATCATGACCATAGATTTTCATAACAGATAAATGGTCCATGAAAATTTGTTTTTCTATAATAGGCAGAGTAAAGCAGGATTTAAAGAAGATAATTTAAAAACTGACAGAATGAAATGACTATCACTGAAAAAGGTGGAGAACCACTGACTTAGAATACAGTCTTTGAATCTAGGAAATGAGGCAATAGAAGCTCTAAGCATTTAATGTGGTTGGCTCTTGTTGAAAGTTGACCACGTGTGTGGGTATCAGTGTATTGTGGCTCTTCCCCAGCCTCCCGTCCCTTTTGACATAAGCATACAAATGAGCTTTATAGAGATAATTATTTTACATCTCTTTAACCTGAAATAATTTTAGAACTTGATCATCCTACTTTACAAATGTACATGGGGGAGGGGGGACAGTTTTCTCAGTTTTTCTAGAAAATTTGCACTACCTATCTCCCCCCAGGCTGACCCCAGAAGATACAGCGATCTTCTGGATCAGAAGTATAATACTAACATTAACCATATAAGGCTTAGTGTGTACCAGCCACTATTCTAGGTATTTTTTGTGTTTTCTTTGTTTGTTTTTCTTTTTATGAACAATGGCTAGTGGATTTAGAATACAGTGTTTTCCAACTCTTTTCATGGCAGGCATATGTATTCAATAATAATATTTATATGGGACACTAGGATAATGGGCTCAGGAGTTTGGCTGCCCACGGGCTGAGGGGTTCTGGGTGACAGTACATGGGTACTCTCTTCTCTGTGCGCCATGCACACTCTGCTGGGAAGCTGTGTGATGGGGTACAACAGACTTTTTCTAATGCCGGGGTGATATCCAGCATCTAGAAGGGTTCAGGACTCTGGAGAAGGTGCTGCGTGTAAATTATCTCCAGGGCTCTTTTTATTCCCACATTTTGCCCTATAGCAATATATATATATATATATATATATATATATATATATATATATATATAATATATATATCTCAAAGGTAAGTTTGATATACAGTAGGCATTGTCCTCAGCTGTCTGGTAACAGGTAATAATATATGCAGATCTTTAGGTTTGGGGAAATGCTTTGGGCTAGTCCAATAGGCAATAACATGTATTCAGCCCTGCTGAATGTAGAAGACCATCAACCTTTTGAAGAATTCTTTTTTTGTTTGTTTGTTTAAATTTCTTTATTGATTAAGGTATCATATATTTGTCTTCATCCCCCTCCCCCCCATTCCCATGCCACACCCCTCCCCACGCATGCTCCCACCCCCCTGTTGTCCTTGACCACTGGTTAGGCTCATATGCATGCACACAAGTCCTTTGGTTGATCTCTCCTCTTTATCCCCACCCTCCCCTACCCTCTACCCTCCCTTTGAGGTCTGACAGTCTGACCCACGCCTTTTTGAGGACTTCTTGCATTTATTCTGACATGCTGGAATTAGCCTCCAGCACTAGTCCTGATTTCTGCTGGTAGCATTGCTTCCTGGATCTTAGGATGGCATTACCTATTTTGCATATCATCAGTGTTACCGAAGGGCGCTGTTAACTCTCCCGCTCCCCCTCCGGCAGCAGCGATTAACAGCAGCTTGGAGAAAGTTCACACACACGTGCTTGACTAGTTTCCAATCACTCCGACACCTCTGAACCTCCAGTTGGACCGGTCTCTGCTGCTTCCAAATCTCTGTCTGTGAGACACAGCGAGTAAGTCCTGTAGGGAGGTCAGTTTCCCAAGTGCACTCAATAGGAAGAGCCTGTATAAGAGGTGAAGAGAGGAGTGCAATCCATGAGGTCTTTGCTGAGGGGTATGACTTGGGTCTCTTCTCTCCATTCTCCTTCTTCACCCAAATAACTTTCTGTGAACATTTAATGCGGAACTCGGTGCCCTCGAGGCTCAGAGGGGAAGTGAGGGTGCTGTACGTTCTACATTCTTGGCACATTGCTGAAAAGATCCTGTTGTGATCCTGGTTTAGCTTGCTTCTAAATGCCAGGGTTGCAGTCGACTCTGCTCTTCCCTCTCACACCTTATTCCTTTCCCCTACTCTCAGGCAGACTTAAATATGAAGTTAAAAATAGAGTAAATAGAAGACTTTCCTCTTATTTGCATTTAAATAAGGTATTTTTTTTTCTCCACTCCTTTTATGCTTTTGAACTGTGACGTGCTGATGGAAGAAAAAACAAAAAGGACTGAATCCTGGAATTCATGAGTTCCAGGAACTGCCACTTACCCATCTAAATGGGCAAGTTTGTTTCATTTCTTCACCTTTGTGACAAGAGGGGACTGAGGATACCTGTCCCAGTCCCCTCTCAGGGCTGATTTTGAAAAATCAAAGGGGAATCCAAGGCATGAAAACAGTGTATGTAAGCTCCAAAAGCAATTTGGTAAATGCCGTTTGTTACTGTATTAAACGTGGCAGCAAGTCCTTGTAAGAATTCAGATACTGAGCGCTGGTGAGTGTGGCTCTGGGGATGACAAAATTGACCGGTGCTCTCTCTCCCTCTGTCTCCCCTCCCTCACCCTGCAGAGTAACCTGGTGCACTACCTGGGCCTGACCCATCACCTGCTCGCACTGAACTTTATCATCGGTTCTTTCGGCAAGAAAAGCGCATGGTCCTCGGCTCGGATGAACGTGACGGACACGGACTTTGACGGCGTGGAAGTCAGGGTGTTCGAAGGCCCCGCCAAGCCACAAGAGCCCCTGAAACGCGGTGTTGTTTATATTCACGGGGGAGGCTGGGCCTTGGCGAGCGCAAGTAAGTCCTGGGCCTCTGAAGGTCCTTTGGGGTTGCGGTTGGCCCTGGGAGAGAGGTGTGTGTGTGATTGAGTCTGACTTGCTCATTGGGTAAAGAGAGGGGGACCATTTGACTTGGTCCCTGTGGGCAGTTCCAGTTGCTCATAATTATCCCAGCAGAAGCATTAGTGGTGTGTCCTTTTCATGCTTGAAAGTGTCCTGGTTTGGATGATTACACCCTGCATGAAGGTTTTTGCCTATTTGCTTATTGGTTTGTTAATTACGGTAGACTCTTTTGCCAAAACCGGTTTGGCTCAGTGGATAGAGCATTGGCCTGCGGACTGAAGGGTCCCGGGTTCGATTCCGGTCAAGGGCATGTACCTTGGTTGCGGGCACATCCCCAGTAGGGGGTGTGCAAGAGGCAGCTGATCGATGTCTTTCTCTCATGGATGTTTCTAACTCTATCCCTCTCCCTTCCTTTCTGTATAAAAAAAAATCAATAAAAATATATTTTAAAAAAAAAGGTAGACTGTTTTGAAAATATTTCCTGGGACCTAAATCCTAGACTAACTTATTACAAAGTGCTGGCAGCAGCTTTCTGCACCCAAATAAGGTGGGATTTCGTTGGGCCGGAAGATGGGGGGAATGGTCGGCAGCTCTTTTGCCAGCTTGTGTTTTGAAGACTCCTTTCTTTGAAATGGAGTGGGTATTCCCGAGTGCCCGTGTTAACTCATCTGCATTTCTTCTGCTCATGAAACCAAGGGTGGAAATATAAAAGCATGCCACCGTGAAAAGCAAGTGCTCTGACGGAGTTCAAGAATATTCTCTTTTGTGTCGAATTACGAGATCGAAATGGCACGCTGCCAGGTGGAGCAGCGGGCAGAATGCAAACCGGGAAGGAAGTGAGGGCCTTATCTCCACCTGCGATTTTCACGAGCCATTTCCTCATCTTCAACCCGGAGCTTTGGCATCTAGTTCTAGTTTGCTTGTTTGTTTTGTTTTAATAACATATTTTTTTTTTTAATGAGGGGAAAGCCAAAAGCTCTTTATAGTAATCTCGTTTCATTGAACTCCATATTCATATTTTATTCTTTAATCGTTGATTTGTTGGCGTTTTCTTTTTTTTAAATATATTGTCTTGATTTTTTTTTTTTTTTTACAGAGAGGAAGGGAGAGGGATAGAGAGTTAGAAACATTGACGAGAGAGAAACATCGATCAGCTGCCTCCTGCACACCTTCTACTGGGGATGTGCCCACAACCAAGGTGCATACCCTTGACTGGAATCAACCTGAGACCTTTCAGTCCTCAGGCTGACACTCTACCCACTGAGCAACCGGTCAGGGCTGTTGACGTTTTCAAGAGATATTTACTGAGCATGTGCGTTTGCCCAGGACTGAGAGGTTTCCTGAAGGGCAGGGCTTCCGGTACAAAAACTCAAACAGTTGCATGCAGACCTGTACCTGTGGTCACTCTAATGAGTGCTAGGTGATGGGATATAAAAATGAATGAAACAGAATTCTAGAAAAGAGTGAGTCTGTACCATTGGACACTTGTCAGGTGAGGCATTCCTCTGGAGGCCAGGAATGGTATCGATTATAAGAGCCAACCTGGTCTTTTTCATACTAATTTTAACTGATCACTATTGTCAGAGGAAGCACTAGGCTGAGGGAGGTGTGTAGATGGTTATGTTGTTATTAACCTTCTGATTCTAAGACTACCTTGGAAAAAGCCTATGGATAAGGTGATATTTTGGCTTTTTGTTGGCACAATCTACTCTTAATATATTGGGAGAATAGCTAAGGAATTGATTTTTTTTCCCCACATAATAAAATTGCTTCTGTCACTGCAAGTCTTTGGATTCTCTTTCTAAGAACTGCTAAGAGTTCTTAAAATTTTAGTTTGTTATGTGTTGATTTAAACAAAATACCACATTCTACAAATTGGTGATTTTCCCGAATTGCAGCAAATGCGGGTGTTAAAAGAGAAAATTTTTATGGTTCTCAGGAGAAAACTGCTTATTGCTGTGATTTTTGGAAAGGCATACATTTGAAGAGCTGCAAAATCAGAAAGAATTTGGTGCATTTCATAGAGTCCATTATGAAACAAATGTCTAGTTAGTTAAAAACACATTCAAAGGCAATCTAATATAGATCCCCTGTTAATTTATAGCAATTGCATTTTAACAGAAACCAATTTAAATTCTGCATTTGTATACGTAACTGTATTAAGGAGATATATGGTCACATTTGCTTTTTATTGTTAATAACTTAAGTCCACGTCTAAAAGGGATTCACAATTAGCAGAATTTAAGAATAGACAGTATTAGAACTTGTTTAATAGTGATTTCTCCTTTGTTTCCTTTAGGAATAAGATATTATGATGAACTGTGTACAGCAATGGCTGAGGAGTTGAATGCTGTCATTGTCTCCATTGAGTAAGTAATTAATACTAGTTATAGAAAAAAAATTTAAGAAAGGATCCTCAATAACTATGTAGTTACTTTATTTTAAAAGTGATAAAATAAAGGCCCAGAGAGGTGAGGTAACTTTCCCAAGGTTACACAAAATGATTTCACTTATAACTTAGAATTTCTCGCTTTATAATGCTTCAACTTATTATTATTTTTTTTAAATTTCAGTTTTGGAAACTTCTGGAAAAGAAATTAATTAAAATTGAGAGGTATATACAGTTAGTTATCTATAGCATATAAGCTTGATTACTGGCTTTTTTTTTTTTTATTGATTTCAGAGAGAGAGCAAGAACGAGAGAGATAGAAACATCAGTGATGAGAGAGAATCATTGATTGGCCGCCTCCTGCACACTCTACACTGGGGATTGAGCCTGGACGTGTGCCCTAATAGAACTGTGACCTCCTGGTTCATAGGTAGACGCTCAACCATTGAGCCACGCTGGTTGGGCTGATTACTGCTTTTTTAAAACTAAAAACCAATCAGCATTTTGAGAAAATCTCTCCTGCAACCAAGAGTTGTAATAGTGATTCTCTTGGACTCACTTTCTGTAAGTCAGACCTTGTGAACAGTAATGAGTGCAACAAATCTTCCTCAATTTAGTTATTATTATTAATAGTAGTGATGTTAGTATCTATTTTTGAGTTGCTCCTACCAGTTATGTATTAGCCATCTTTCTGGGGAAATAAGCAGAATGGGGATGTTTATCACAGATGTGGGGACAGTGATAATACAACACCATGGTACCTCTTCTGTGCGGGTGCTATTGCACACCTGTCTCTCCTCCTTTCCATTTTTTTCTCATGTCATCCTTTCAGCTAGGCCTCCCTGACACCCTACTTAAAATTGTAACCCTTCATTTATATAGATTTCTAGTAAATGTGGGCTCTTCTATAGTAATAGAAAAAAGAGCTGAGACCGGTTTGGCTCAGTGGATAGAGCGTCAGCCTGCGGACTGAAAGGTCCTGGGTTCGATTCCGGTCAAGGGCATGTACCTTGGTTGTGGGCACATCCCCAGTAGGGGGTATACAAGAGGCAGCTGATCGATGATTCTCTCTCATCGATGTTTCTAACTCTCTATCCCTCTCTCTTCCTTTCTGTGAAAAATCAATAAAATATATTTTTAAAAAAATAAAAAGAACAGTGGTGGCTGGGGGACAGATTGGGGAAGCGGGTGGTGGGAGGGATAGGTCACAAAGGGACAGGAGGAAACTTTGAAGGGTGGGGGACATGCTTATTATCTTGATTGTGGTGGTGGTTTCAAGGGTGTATACATATGTAAAAATCTACCAAATTGTACATTTTAAATATGTGTACTGTGTGCTTTATTTTATGTCAGCTATACCCCCAAAGAGCTGTAAAAACACTTAAAAATGTAACCTGATTGTAAGTAAAAATGTCAATAAATAATGAAAATTTCAGATGCAGACATAACTCTACCTACCAGTTCTTTCCCCTACTTTCACAGTATAGAACCTCATTATTTATATATATATATATATATATATATATATATATATATATAGCAATCCACTTTTCTTCTGCTTTGTTTTTCTCCAAAACTGTCAACATCTGACAGATCGTAAATTAAACTTATTATGTAGTTACTATACTGAATGGAAATGGACAGTGTAAATTTCATTAAGGCAGAGATTTGGGGGATTTTTTTTGCTTCTTTTGTTCTATTGACTGGAAATATTCTTGGCAGGGAGTGGGCATTCAATAAATATTTGTGGGATGAATGAATAGAGTCTTGCTTAATTCTCATATAAATCATCCAGATAAGTATTTTGATATTTTCCTCACGGATGAAGAAATTGATGCCCGGGAAGTTAAGTAATCTGCATGAGGTCCCATAGCTAGCTAGTCACAGTGCTGGAGTGGGGCACTGAGCCAGGCCAAATCGGTCTGAGGCCCAGCATCAAGCCAATACTGAGGAAACTGATAATGCTCAGTAACAATGTGACAATGTCACAATAACGATGTGACATATGTCACAGCACCATCAGCCACTCTCCATGCCCTGAGCTTATCCAACTCCCCCGGAACCTCTACCTCTTTCTTTTCTTTTCTTCTCTTTTCTTTTCTTTTCTTTTTCTTTTTTTTAAAAAAATATATTTTTATTGATTTCAGAGAGAGGAAGGGAGAGGGAGAGAGAGAGAGCGAGAAACATCCATGATGAGAGAGAATCATGGATCAGCTGCCTCCTGCACGCCCCCCAGTAGGGATTGAGCCCACATCCCGGGCATGTGCCCTTGACCGGGAATCGAACCCAGGACCCTTCAGTCTGTAGCCCGACGCCCTATCCACTGAGCCACACGGCCAGGGCTCCTCTACCTCTTTCTGCCACCAGATTTCCCTCCTTGCCCCCCATCCAGATCTGAGAGAACCCTTTCTTCTGCAGCCCTTGGGAGGGCTGGTCTCCCGAGCCCTGAGGGCAGCCCTGACCCTGTGCCCAGAAGCCTTGGAGCCACAAGGAGTGGCGCCGTGGCTGCTTCCTCAGCAGACTGGCCTCTCGGTGAGGCCTCCCAGATCACACTCCAGGGACCTCAGGGAAGTGTTTAATGCGGGAACCTTCACTGAAGTGATGATTGTGTCATCTGGCCCGGGCAGCTGGCCAGAGGAAACCAGGGCTGTGTAAGCCGCTGAGCCCCAGGACGGAGCAAGGTCCCACAGCTCGGTGCTGGGGAACCAGCCTCGAGCCCCTTGCATGGTTTCCTGCGCAGCCCCAGCTCCTCCAGGCCTGGGGGGAGGAGGGAAGTTGGCCCTGCTTCACTTGGCACCGGGAGGATCCTCCACCCAGGCCTCTCCCTCCAGGGCTTCAGTATAAGCGGCTGGCGGCCTGCCTGCCTTCATTCTTCTGACACGCCCTCCCCCACCTGTCAGCATCTGGGTTAAGGAAAACAGGTGTTCTCAGGCCTATCATAAAACACACACGGGTTGATGAGATGTTTTCTAAGATTTTTTTAAAGAACCAAAAGATGGAGGGACCACTTGTATTTTTGACTTCCCATAGGCCCTAATGTAGCTTCCAGAAGTTCTTAGCTGGGAGGCTTTGCAGCCTGAGGGCCATGATCCTTACTCATGACTGCATGACCCCAGGCAAGTCATTTAACCTCTTGTGCAAAGCGGGGTGTGTGTGTGTTAGGATTCTTTTGTGTGTGTCTCACACGTGAGCTGCTGGGACAGAAATCCTGCCTTCTTTCCGTTGGGTCCCCATCACCCAGTGCACGGCTTAGCACGTGTATGTGAGGCAAATACGCTCTGATTTGGGTTAATGACTTCAGAGAGTTGTCAGGAGAATCAGTTTGGATTGTTGAGATAGAAGGGCTTCAGATACCCAAAGGGACAGTCGGGAGGATTAGTGCTGGAACACAGAATGGAAAGGCCCAGCTGACAAATTGATTTACCAACACGTGTTTGGAACTCTCAGCACTTTTCTTCTTCGCAGACATGATGAGCTAAGATGCTCGGGATCCAGGCCAACCAGCCCACGAAGAGCTGCATAACCTATGCTCTAGTTGAGGGATAGCCAATATCATATGATCTGGGAAGTATCGTCGGGCTTGAAGACATATTTTCTCTCACTGCTGTATCTTTCCTCTTTTCTTTCATCCCGTAAACATCTGAATTCGTATTATGTGCCAGTTTCTGTGTTAAATTCCGGTGGCATACAGTGTGAGTTAGACATCATTTCTGCCCCCACGAATCTAGGTGGGAAAATAAAATCTAGGTGAGAAAATAACCTTGAGCAAGTCATGCTAAGTGACAAGAGATGTGAAGTAGAAGGTAGGTAGGTAGTAAGGGAGGAATCTAGTAGGTAAGATCTTACCCAGTTTGCAGGGTCAGAAAAGGTGTCATAAAGTCATCTTTGAATCGAGGTCCTGGGGACGAGTAGAACCTAGTTAAACAGTGAGTTGGTCCTGGAGGTCCAAAGTGATGTCATGAGAGGACTTGGGAGGAAAGGGAGGAGGCAGAGGGCATTTAGGGAATAAAACAGGAGAGAAGACACACAGAGGGACTCAGACTTCTGACATGATGAAGGAAAAGAAGAATTAAGGGTGGGTGATCCTGAGAGTTTCCTGGAATCCCATCATCTTCAGCAGGAATGCTGTCGAGATAGGTTCTCCCTTATCTTCAAGGCCCACGGGAGTGGTGCTGGGGTCACAGTTGCCTTCACAGGCGTGAGGCCTGGGGGCAGGTTTACCCTGAGGAAGCTGGTAGGCCAGGGCTGCCCCCCCCCCCCCCCCCCCCCTGCTTACCACGGGATCCCCTCACAGGAGGAGAGAGAGCAGCAGGAGTTGGAACTGCGCAGTTCATGTTGCTGGCACTGGCTCAAGGTTCTGGAGAAGCAGATAAAGGCCCCAAGCGATGAAAACAACAGTCTGGGCCTTCTACTCTGTAGCTTCTGCACACTACACTATTTTACATACCAGTTGCCCAATACGTATTCATTAAGTAAATGAAAAAGTTTACCTTTTAGACTTATAATACCAAGGATACATGGATGTAGCCTCACTTTATATGATCTAAGAAGGTCCTATTTGATATCCATGAACTTATTTTTGTAACGTTCACTGCAGTTTAGCTGTAATCTGGTATCTTTCTTTAAAAATGGTATCTATTTATCTATGGCTTATATAATAAGACACAATACCAGTACCATGGAAAAGGGGGGGAAAGGAAGATTTCATTTCCTTTTTTAGAAGATAAAATGTAAGCTAACAGAGTATATTGTTAAATTCTATTTAATACATTTTATGTAATCCTATGAGTTCTATTAAGTTCTGGAAAGCACTTTACTCATGTTGCTTTCTTGAGTGAGGAAAACAGTTTCAAGTTGTGTTTTGCTTTCAATGAAACCTTTACTGTACTCGTACATTCCCCACTTTAGATGGTGATTTCTTCCCATTCCATCAGATGTCATGTGGCAGTAACAGAACCATAAAAAACAAAAACAAAACAA